AAAAAATACTATGAAAGCTGAATATTTGTAGAGCAAAACCATCCTGGTTCTTACCCATAAAGGATCCGGTGCTGCATATGAGGCTGAAAAAGCAGCTTTCAGGTGGCAGAGTTCCACATTTACTACAATGGAAACACAGAGGAGAGGAGGGTGGTTAGTATGACCCCCTGTGCTTGCTGTCATATACCCCCTTCTCCATATTTTACTTTTTTTTTTACTGTGCACAACTGGAAAACCCATATTTGTGTGCTTAGCTGCTCTGTGATACTAAAAACCTGCCAGCATTTCTTCTATAAATATAGAGTCTTTGTAGGAGGTCAGAAAGAAGGACACACATCTGTATCTCCAGCTCAAAAGCATCCAAAACATTTTCCCATCTAGATTCACAATAAGCCGATTAGATTTTAAACGGGTAAATCTTGTCAGCAACACTTATTCAGCACCCTGGAAGTTTTTGTGGGGGGGAAATAAGACGTGTGAAGCACTTAACAAAAGCCTTTCTTTCTGCAGAGGTGAGGAGGAGCCTCGCTCAGGCAAGTGCGGACTTATCTAAGATCACGAGCTTCACTGCAGCGGCTCGCCAAATATCACTGCAGTTTAAACCGGATTAGTTAAAGAAGCGGACGACATCACTTTCTGGAGCTACATGTAAGACTTGCAAACCCTGAAGCAACAGTTTCAGCTGCTGTTTGTAACGCTGCGTGGAAACAAAAACTGATTTTCAGCCCCATGAACACCTGCAGATCTCGTGGATTAAAGACAGTCCACAAGGATTTACAGGTTGAAGAGGCAGGTTTTTAAACTCTGAACCTTCGTAGCTTGTTAGTCCCTAATTCATGGATGTCAGATGCTTACATTGGGTCAATGAGCTTACACTGAGGGCTAGATGTGTGAGTTTACTGACATGCTTTAATTTAATCCCCAAAATAAAAAACTACCTTGGATTTATTGGTTCATGTCCTATAAAAGCCTTTTTACCTGCACTTTAAAACAGTCATGCAGTAGCATTTCCTCTGCCTTATCTCTCATGATGAAACTTTGTATTTCCAGCTCTGACACTTTGATATTTGGCTTGCATGAATATATTCTGTGAGTTCAACGACTTTCTGAAGACTTTGTTTGATGTCCGTGGCTCCACATTTCTGCTGGTGTGTTTTAAAAATGACAACACAAAGAGTCTCAGACTGTCTTCTTACTTTTGCAGCTTTTCTTGTGTTATTTCAATTAGTAGTTTTAGTAAAACAGGAAAATTCAGTTTCTTTTTTTAGAAAAGGACCAAAAATCAAGCATGTGCTTGCTCCAACTGAACAAAAGCAGCCATCCCCAAAAATAAACCACTGACCACAGCAGGGCGGTTTGCTGTGTCACATGACATCTGTGGTCAGATCATGTGTACAGCATAACTGTTTTTGTGTTTCAGTGAAATTGTTATCACTGCAAAAGCAGAACTAGGACCCTCAGTCTGCTTCCTCGTTGTGGTTTAATGAAGGATAGGGCAGGAATGACTGCAACGTGCAGCTGTTCTGTTCTTTGAAGTTCTCAAATGTTACAAGAAACCAGGAGTTTAGC